GAGGATTATGCATCCATTCTTCCTCTTTATCACAAATTTACTCTAACATTGAGCTAAGTTCATCATCATCCGGGCTGATGCCACTTGCTAGATCTTCTTCTCTGACTTTAGCTTTGTATCTATTGATTAGTAGATTAAGACGATCTCTTAATGACCTCTTGGATACATGGAACTTTGGACTTTCCAATTTGTTAAGATTTTCTGCTATTTCATCCCATACTTTTCCTCTTTCAGGACTTCCGTTTCGGGTCTCATACAGACTGGAAACCAAAACTTCTCTTGCAAATAGTATATCATGTGAGTCACTCCATTTCATAGGCCTGTAAAAGATATATTTAAATGCCCTCAATTCAAAATGGTGTGATGAAATATATTGATAAATTAAGTAATAATATAATATTTCCTGAAACAGGGGATTTTTTTATTAATTTGCATTCTAAGTCTTTTGCACTTCATATTATATAGTACAAACTAATGCAGTAATATGTTGAGACATTAGTCATTAAATGGATTTGTGAAAGACCCTTGAGACTTCCACAAACCCTACTACTGTACTAGACTTTTGGCAAATTTATTCACTTGTAATTAATTCTCATGTTAGAACTGTTCTTCGACAGTATCCCTTGTAATAACTTTTTATTTTGGTTAGAGACCCTATGAAATTCTTCTGCTTTTAGCCTCCCTATTTTTCCTACAGATAATAAATTAATAACATGCTATAAACATTTCCATTTAAAAATATATAATAGGTTTATGTGCAAATAATATACAGTATAAATAAAAATATATAATTCTATCATTAAACAAATCTTTGCTTTTAAGTTTTTATATAGTAGGCCTATATGTACACAAAATAGTTATTTCTTACAATTGGCATCAACAGTAATCAGCATAAAACGAAGCAACTTGACATTATTATAAGTAAACCTCACTAAGGGTAAACTAATGAAAAGTGTACAGTTGAATCAAAACAATGAAGTGTTTTTGGAAGATTCTACCACGACTTTATAATGCTATAGAACCCCATAAGACATAACATGAACTCAAACTGACAAACAATTGAATAATACAAGTAGAATGGGTATCTTAACGTCTATTATTTGGAACACTGTCGTAAATTTTATATGAGAAAACAATTTATTTAAATTACTTACTTTGATGTTGTTATAGTCGAGGTACTAGTCATCATTCCCACCTGAACAAAGACAAACTTTGGTCTAAATTTCCGATGCTAATCGAAATACTATGGTAAACAATCAGGGAATAACTATAAATAAATTTCATTTCAAAAATTTAATGATAAATAAGTTTAAAATGGCTGTATTTACTGACGTTTTCGCCACAACGCCAAAATAGAGATTCTCACGTCGCTGCCGTGACGCTGACCGTGAGAGAATTGGATTTGCCATGCGCAGTAAGTCTCGTCCCAGTCCAAATCGAGAGCTGCCGTCGCCGTCGCCGTGAAAACGTCGCTTGCTTAAGTTCGCTATTACTGGAAGACGTGCTCGGCACTGGCTCGGCATCAAAAAGTGTCAGTAGTGAAACCCCCCCGTCTGGCAACGGAAGTAATTAGTATGCAAACTTAGGTGTCGAAATTAATTAGTATGCAAAATCTATGACGCAACTTTGCTGACCCTAACCCTAACCCTGGGTTAGGTAGCGCGACCAATTAACGCGGGCAAGTCTGGGCCAACTGTGACAGGTAGCGCGACCAATTAACGCGGGCCGGTATGGGCCAAACGTGATCAATTAGCATCATAGTAACGAGACCAATTAGCGGCACAGCACAGTAGCGCGACCAAACAAATTATCAGAGATTATAAATATCGTGTTTCGAACACACGTTTCATTTCTCACTGTTGCATTTTGGCGAGTGGTCTCTGGTTTTCTCAAGTGTTGTCTGGTTCTGAAGTGTTCTCTGCTTTTGGATTGCGTTGGATTGTTTTTAAAATGGCTCATTCGGTAAGTTTGTGTATTTGTTTTGAATATTTGTTTACGATAGTTTCAGAGTCATAGGCTGGATTAAGTTTTAGAATATGTATTTTTAGATTAATATGTTTATGATATTTCTAGATTAATATGTTGGATTTGATCAAGGCTTGTGAGGCTGAGAGTGAACTCGACTTTCTTCAGGAGTCGTTTGTTCTGACTGATGAGCAGAAGGAAGCTGTTCTTCTACAGCGCATTATATTTTGGACGAATGCTATGGCTGAAGATATTGAACGGGAGAATCCAGTTGGAGTTGTTGATGGCTTTATGGATACTTGGACCGAGGATCAACGTCGCCTGTTCAACGAAGACTGGGCTAATGACGAAGGTTTGTGCGAGCTCGAACAGTTGCCTGAACCGCCAGAAAACCAAATAGGTGAAGGGAGCAAGCGAAAGCACGCCACTGATGACGCCTCCTCAAAACGCCAAAGACCAGATGAGTATTTCACTATTAAAGCAGCCAAGCAAGTCAACGTGAGGAAATTCAGGACGACAGGTACACAAACTGTTTTCCCCGAGCCGGCGGCGCGAAGCGCCGTGCGAGGGTACTAATTCCCCCCGGCTATTTACACCCGGGGAAACGAAAGCATTAGCCAAGTCTAAAGTTCATCAAATATCGCGGGCGTG